TGGATTTTTTCCCCTTTTTTTGGGGAAAACTTTTTTTTGGCCCCCCCCCCCCCCCCCCCCCCCCCCCCCATCCTGCACGGATACGGGAAGCCCCGATGCCACGGAAACCGGCCACGATTGGGTCACCTTAGGCCGGTGAGGTGATACGTAATCACCCACGACTCTAAGGTTGGTGGTATTCTCTTAGTATCAAATGTTACTCTACATGTCCGACTCTTTTGAGAGATCCACCTACACATCGGTCATGCCTCCGGAATGCTACACAATCGATCCCTTCTCCGCAGCGGCACCATCATACCTTGCCAGCACGTTGTTGGCGGTGGGGTGGAACCGCAGGAGGGTAACCTTGCGGCCGTGGCCCTGCAGGTCGATGAGAGCCTCCGTCTCCGTCTCCGTAAAGCCGTCCTCGGGGATGCCCCACACCTTCACGGTGCAGTCCTCCGAGCAACTGGCAACCAGCTGCAGGGACGAGGGACGCCATCGCGACGTTTCGATTGTTCCGTTTCGCATCGTCGTTCAACACGCGTACGCAACCCCCATCCACGCATCCGTTTCGTATACAATCCAGATCCGGTCGCCGGTTGCCGGGATAGGCGGGAAATCAATCAAGCGCCCCGTCCGTGTGCCCGATAACGCACGGAGAGAGAGCGGGGGCGGCGGGAGAGAGGAACAGAGGACGAACAGAGAGAGAGAGAGAGAGAGAGAGAGAGAGAGAGAGAGAGAGAGAGAGAGAGAGAGAGAGAGAGAGAGAGAGAGAGAGAGAGAGAGAGAGAGAGAGAGAGACACACACAGACAAGACAGACAGACAGACAGGCAGGCAGAGAAACACGATGGGGAAAACACAAGTCCCACAAGAGCGGCGACATTAAGAAACACAGCCAAGATTCTCCTCCGAACACGCTTAAAGGGACGAAAAAGATGGAAATAAGCCAACGCAGAGGGAAGTAGGAAGCACGGTGGAGTTGGTCGGGCGACAATAGATCACACCAATGGACCAGGCCACCAGGCAAAGTGAGCAATAATGAAAGTATACCCAGGCCCTCAGCACCCCCAACCCCAAGCTCCACCGACCCCTTCACCTCCATACACGAAATCCCGAGGTTTGCGCTTTCCACACCAAGTAGCGTGCACTGTAAGGGTTAAGCAGACTTGCTGTGGCTAAGCCAACACGCACAACAAAGGAAGGCACTCACTAGAGTAACAAGTCGATCGAGTGGCCCCATCGTAGAAAAAACAGCCAGTCACCCAAAACACACGCCTCATGTCGCTGCCAATCCAAGCCAACGCCAACTAGGTACCCTACATTTTCAAGATGGCAGATACAGCGACAACGGCAGCAAGAGAGTGCCTAAGGGGGCGTCGAGAGATCTCTCGCATGCCTGCACCCACACACCTGCTCGTGGAAAGGGTTGAAGTCGAAGTCAAGCACGGACGCCGTGTGGCCGGACACGAGCGGCCCTCCGCGCACGAACCGGCCGGGCTTGTTGTACGGCAGCACCGCGAACGGCCCTCCTCCGCCCTGTCGTCGCCGCCGTCACAAAAATGGGGTTGTGGAAGCGGCAGGCAGACAGACAGCAGCATGGTCGTTCGTTTCGAGGTCGCGCACGTGTGCATGTGTTTTGGTGTCCTTCAAAGGCAGGAAAACACTGGCCACCCTGGACGTGATGTTCTCGTCACGTCACGCGTGTGTCAGCGAAGACCACGAACCACAAAAGAGAGAGGCGGCGGTGCCCGTAGGGTTTCAAAGCGTGCGTGAACTGTTGGTGTCGCGACAACCTACACGGAAAAGGAGGACCCTTCTTTCCGCAGTCTGCTGCTTGATAATCTTTTCTGGTTCAACGCATCTCATCTTGGGACTGACGTTGGAAACTGCTTTGATACCTTCGTTTTTTAGATGTTATTGAATGTATCACTACGTCCCGTATCTTGGCCGCATGCCTGATCAAAACTTTGGACAACACCCTGTCACAAATCGAAACAAAACACATCGCAACCATAAAACCGAACACCACTTGCACCTCATCGTATTGCTGGTGTTGTTGCTGTGTCTTTAAAAAAAAGAGCGCTTCATCGCTGAACTCTACAACGTGGACTCGACGAGAGGCACAGGCAAAGCTTGCCGGGATCATCAATTACACACACAAACCGAAAGTCAAGAAACGCAGTACTCGTGAGAGACATCACCTGCACCGCCACGGCCATGTACTTGGTGTTTCCCTTGATGTAGCTCTGTTCTCCCTGGGTCGTGGCTACCGGAATGCCGGTCCAACACGCCTCCGCCTGACCGCCACCATCACCACCGCAAAAAACATCCATCCATCATCATCAAAAAAGGTTAGTCAAGTCGCCGCATCATCGCAACACTGGTCATTCCTCGTGCACGTGCCCATCGAGACCCCGGTGCCAATGAGCGGGTGTAACTCTCGCCAACATCATTGGTTCTCAGGGAGGGATATCGTGGTAATGCCAACGATTCGAGGTTGATGGCCGTGAAACCAGCCACACCAAGCGACAACGGTGACGACATCCTCGACGTTTTCGGCAGTCGGCGGCCTCTGGCGATCGTGTCTTTCGGAGCTATGTACACACGATGAGAACTCAAGCTCCGGGGGTTAACGGCGTAACGATCACCGAGAAGAAGCTGTTTCTTTCTTTCGTGTCACCAACTGCGGGTCGGAACTCTTTCAGTGGAGAAGGGCGGACGTGTACCGCAGCTACATGCAGTAGAAAGGCTACACCATGTAATAAGCATCATCCATCCCACAATCACAATTCATCATTCACATCAAGCGCGAGATTTTCAGATGGGTGGTGAGGTCGGCGGTCTGCAGCCAGCAGCAAACGGCGCTTCACGCAGCAGCACTACTGCTATTCTCGACGAGCTGGGTGTGGACGTGAAAATCTAGCCCTGTCGGAGAGATGCCGAGCGCGGCTGTACCTTGCGGTGCAATAACTTCATTTCACACACTCTTGTACTTATTTTTTCTCGTTCTCTCATGCAGAGCACACGAAACCCAAGCACAAGCATTTTTCCGCAGTGAGAGAATGACGTTATCGTACGTGTTTGTGTCCGTGCGGCTCTTCGCAAAAACAAGCCACGAATATTGTAGCTCATTTTGAATACGCGGAAGGGGGGTTCCTCTGTCACAATACCATCCCCAGACTGGAGTTCTTTACCTGAAGAGGGAGAGAGAGAGGCAACACCAAAGAGCAGGGAGGAACTACAAAACGACGGCAGGAATCTGCATGACAAAAACGGGCAACACACGTCCATGCACATGGCTACTTTCAACCAACACGCTGTTTTACTTTCAGCCGTTGTATAGACAACTCTCAGCGCGTGTGCGTCTGAACGCACAACATGATGGGGAAAAAAATGCACAATAACATTCGTAAACTCGCTGTCTCAAAACATCCAAATAACTGCTGTTGCATGTAGCTGGGGCTGACGCATCCATCAAGTATGGCTGCGCATCCTACGGGTATTATTGCTGTTGGCGTATTAATACGGGAAGCTCAACGACGCTCTTCTTTCAATCACACCCGAAAAGGCACTAGGCACGACTATTGTACTGCTGTATCCACCGCCAACAAGCGTGCGTGCGACTTGAGCACACACACCGCCCAGAATTGATAGTTACACATGCTCTGCTGGTGCCGCCCGCTTCCTCTACACTACTCGCCGCTCATGTTGACGCCCCGATCTATTCACTAACCTTGGGAGATTCGACGTACACATGGCGGTATTTGGATGCGCGCACGAAGTGACTCATCCTGACGCTGCTTGCTACTACTGCTGCTGCCGCGCCTGCTCTATGCTGATGTATCAACCTGCAGCAGGTGGTGGCGGGAGCGAAGAGGGAGCACACACGGGAAGGACGGAGAAAGGAACGTTGCTTCAAACACAAGACAGGAGGAGGGAAAAAATAAATAGTTGAGATTTTAAGTCTTCTCGTTTGACGCTCGGTATAAAATAGAAGACACGCACTTGGACGCGACATTATGCGTATGTACGACGAGCGAGCAGAGCGCACGGAGTTTTCCCTTCCGGTGAGATATCAAATTCACCATTTCTCGTCCTGTCCGCAATGGGTAGAAACGTGCAAGAGCGCAAGGCATGCAGTTCGCGTGGAACACACCGAGTATCTAGTCACGAGCCTACCTACTACACTGCCTGAACGATTGTTAGGTGTCGGTGGTGAAGAGAGGGCGTGTGCCGCTGCCGACCGTTTGTCAGTTGTCGTCATTCACACACAGAACCTTTCTCCTTTGAGCGCACGTAATTAGGCCGAAATTTGAGCCAGGTGTCTCTCTCAGCGCCGCCACGGAGCAAAAGGAACCCTCGGCAAGAGGCTCGTGATCGTCCGGCTACTGCAACGCCACATGAGGTTGACGGTAAGGGGTGGAGGCCTGCTTGTGGCTAATGATCGTCCTCATTGTTCTCTGTAAGCCATGCATACCAAGTCTCGCCAGTTCGACCGCACACAGACAGGTGAAAAGCGGCGCGCACCCAAGGCAGCACTTCTTCTTTTCCTCCAGTGCAATGAGCCGACAAGACGGACCAAACAATTTCTACGTATGTCTGGCGCGGCTCGAGCACGAAATAACTATCCAGGTTGTTGAGCGAGAATGCATCTCCACCCTCCGTGCTGGGGAGAGAGCAACAACGACAATCACACACAGCCGACGCAACCCAAAACCAGAATTTCTACGAAGAAGCGCGCTCCCCCCTCACCAGCGGCGGATCGGTATTTAGTAGTGTGCTGTTGGTGGTGCCCCTGTCGGCGGAGACAAATGCAAACTGCTTATTTTGCTAAACAGCGCAACCCGTGGTGTGTTTCCCACGTTCAGCCCGGCGTCGCCTGTTTGCTCGCTCTCTGTGTCTGGTCTCTGCTCTCCTTGTTCTGCTCGGCGCTACGATGAGGGGCTCGAACTCTCGTGAGGGGGCACCGTATGGGATGTTCATACGTCCATTTTTTCAAAATGCCTATGCACCGGGGGGGGGGGAGGCGGGTAACCGAGATCTACCCCGCCCGGTTAGGTGCTTATGGGACCGCGGGTCCTTTTGTCTCGGAAGGGTACACCATCGTATGCACTTGGCGACGCGCTCGTTGGGGTGTCGGGTGATCAAGGAAGCCACGGTTGATGTCGTATTTTGTGGACATGTTCTTGTGTAGGTCGCGTAAGATACCACACCCCCTTGACCGATTTCAAAGTTCGGTTCCTCCTACATTGTAGGACGAAGAGGACGCCTGATCAACTGAGGCGTTTTCGAAAAGCTTTCTGCGAGATAAATCCAACGCCGTCATGTTCGGCACCACCACTAGCAGCAGGTATATGTTGCCTGCATTGGCAGCACCTGTGATGAACTAAAGGTAGCTTTTTGTTTGTACATACGCATAGTAATCGAGAAACTACATAGTTCAGAATCTCCTCTCGTTAGGTCGATTTCCTCCGAGCACACAAAGAGAACGCTGACCGCGGAGTTGTCTCGGTCTCGTCCATGTGGGCAACAAAGTAAGGAGCCTTCGCCGTATCCCCTTCTTCGTTCTCAGCTAGATTACCACCACCAGCGCTGAAAGTTAGAGACGCCTCCCGCAACGATCGCTTTCATTCCGATTTCCATCAACCATCCGGCTCATCTTACAACCGCACCAAGCATGACCCACGCGGTTGGGCGGATTACAAACTGCACCACCACCTTCAAGAACGAAACTTACGCGAGTACTGTCTGTTCCATGGGACCCTTTTGGTACATAAATAGATCCAAGCGGAGCAACTCCGAATAACGCATAAACTAGCACGCACATGCCACCTGTATACTGCTGTCATTCCCATCTACGGCAACAACCGAGCAGATACACAACTGTGCCGTGCTTTTGGCATGTAAATTGCTCCGCGGAGAACCGGTACTACCGCCGCCACGCCATGTTGCTTTCAGGTCGCCCATCACGAGGGTCCGGAGACCTTGATCTCATCCCAGTCGAGTCATCCCCCAGGCCGCTGTTCATGCCTTGTCTCATTGTACCTCCTCCCCTTCCTCCTCCTCCTCCTCCTCCTCCTCCTCTTCCACTTCCTCCTCCTCCTCCCCCTCCCCCCGGGCCAGTACTCAGCGCCGGCCCTGGCCCGAAATTTGGTCGATTCTGTTGGCGCATCTGCTGCTGCTGCTGCTGCTGCTGCATCTGCATCTGCAGCTGTAAGTGCGGTGGCTGCTGGCCGTCCAGCCAAGGGGGAGAAGCATTGCCTTGGCCTCCTGCCGGAGGTCCGGACCCAAAGCCCTGCGGAAAGCGTTCCGGCACTGGACCACCGCCGCCGCCGCCGCCGCCGCCGCCGCCGCCGCCCCATGGACCATTACCCCCCGTCAGTCCTTGCGGTCGAAAGTTGTTGGGGCCTGGAGGGCTGCTGTTATGGTGCACTTGGACAGGCGGCCGCTGCTGCGGTTGCAGGGAGTTCTGCAAGGCGGGGAGGTGAAAAATGGGGTGGTAAGCACCGCTGCACATCAGAAAAAAAACTCGGCGTAGATACTGTAGATCAGCCGCGTTTCTCGCCAGAAAAAACGATGTAGGCTGCGGACGTGAGCGGTCCTAGAAACGGTGTGGTTCTGATACACAAGGGACCTACCACCAAGGTTAGGCAGGAAGAACTGCGGGAAAAACACAATACATTCACCATCGTAATGGTGTGGTTATCCTCTTGGTGTGATGAAAAGAAGCAAACGAAACGCAACAAGCAGTGCGTTCGAACGGGACACGCGGGTCACGTCCAGATCCCTTGTACAAAAGCTCTTAGACGTCACAAGCGGCATGGAAATAGTGAAGTGGTGGGATTTGTACAACTTACCTCCACTCGCCCATGCCGCGGGGGGCCGCTGCTGCCGCTACCAACGTTGCCGCCGACTCGGCCGCCCGCACTCTTGGCGTTTCTCGATCGCCCAACGGTTCGGTCGTACCGGTTCCTGCACGAGAACAAGGACAGTGAGGGAATGAGAACAAAATCTACGATGATGATGTCTGATGGGAAAAACAAGTATAAGCTGCGCTCATTAAATCGTTCTGATGCGGGGTACCGCAACAAAAACTTCGGACTCAACTGTGTAGACGCACAGAATTTCCAGATAATTCCCCCCCCACCAAGCAATTCATGGTCTAACCACTAGGGCGCGCAAAACGTGAGTACGATACCCCACCAAGCAATTCCAGTACAACACCATATTCCACATCGACTTTGAGGGAGAACCTGGGGCCGATGAGAAGCACGCAGAGAAACAAACACGTCCAGCGACAAGTTTCAGGCCCGGCGGCGGAGTGAGCGTGGCGGCAAAGGCGCCGCGTGGTTGGTGAGCGACGGTGAGAAAACGAAGCCCCTCTCCTCACGCACTGCCGTAGCATACCTCAGTTGCTTCTCGCAGTAGACTCGCCACGAGTCCTCCGTGAAACCGTAGTTGAAAAAGTCGGCGATGTCGACGCCGGGGTGCCTCCACGGCTGCTCTTCCATGCCGTCGATGTCGACATCGAAGGCGGTCTTGCCCGTCGATTGCTGACGCACAAGCAATGCCCGAGAAGGGGGACGACGTGGGCTTGGCACACAAGACGAGGAAACCTGCCCCCCCCCCCACAATTTATAGGCATTTAACAGACCACGCTACAGAAGGCGCTTGTTCTACCCATCACGATGCTACGGGTCTTGCCTGCAGATTGGGAGTTTAAAGCACAAGGGAAGCAGCAGGTGCGACGCGCCCGGTTGGCACGCTACGGACGAGCACGTGGGATAGTGCCCCAACACGTTCCGTTTGTCTCGTGTTATGACTCCAAAAGGCTGTGGATTCAAGCTTCACGATGAGCCTCACTGACTGTGTGGCGCGACAGGCCTTCTCGCACCGTCGAATCCTTCGCATATCTGCACAATGTAAGACACGTAACGTCGATCAACCAGCCCACCTGCAGTTCGGCGGTCGGGGGATATTCCCCTGGCTTCAGAGACGGTTTAGCCGTGGCAACCGGGGCGCCTTTTGAAGGCACCAGTGACGCAATTCCCGCGGCTGCTGAAACCGGCTTCGAGCTCGCGGTGGTACCGCCAGTGGTGGTGGCGTTCACCAACGTATTGGTACCTTTTTCATTAGCGGGGCGATTACAATACGCGTGAGCCCACGGAGGGATGGCAACCACTACGCGAACGGTGTGGTCCGTTTCTGCGAGACAACCGGAGGCTCGCACCGAACCCTAAACGCCAGCTCTGCTTGCCGAGATTCCATTTTTATGTCCGTAACAGCAGTGCTACCTCTCCAGCCCAGCCACACCCTCCACGCCCTGTACGCGTCGGGAATGATTACTTAGTCGTCCCCAGGGTGGACAAGGGAAAGGGGCGGCTGGAGCCCTCTCGCCACAAAAAAAGGTGGCAAGCATCGAGCAAGAAACAAACAAAAAACTGTCAAGAAATCCCCCAGTGTAGCGTGACCCCGGCTGGTGCGTAGAAACACACCGAACGGTGTAATCTGACGTCCAGGATGCTTGGGGTGACAGCACACATGCACCTATTTTCATTGATCAGCCGGTTGGCGATGGCAAACTCATGAAACATACACTCTCTCTATATTTACGCCGTGGTTCCCGGCAAATCGTCCTCACCGCGGAGAAATCTCTTCGTCGGCACCACCGGAGCTGCAGCAGGGGCAACAGCCTCCCGACCGACCACCACCCGGAAACCGTCGTCCTCATCCTCGTCGTCGCTGCTGTCGGCCTGCACGACTGCCGTTGCCCCTTGCTCCTCCTCGACAACCATCCCATCGCCTTCCGGTTCTCGAGCGGGCGTGTCGCGTTTTCGTTTCTGTGCGGCCCCCGACTGCTGCTGCTGCTGCGATCCGGTAGGCTTTCCAGCAACGTCGGGCTGTTGTGCAGTGCTACTCCTGTCGGGAATGGGCTTCACGGCGGCGGCCTTGGCCGCCGAGTCAACGATGGGAGAAGAAGGTCGTGCACCTTCTCCTTCTCCTCCACCATGGGCGTCTTGTGATGCACTGCCCGCCCTAGCCTCCGTTCGTGACGACACTGGTGAAACGTCACCCTCTCCAACCGGGCCTCCTCCAGCGGCGGCCGCTTGGCTCTCACCCTCTTTTGAACTTTCTGATGCCTTGGCCTCAGCCGAACCAGCAGCATCGTCACCTGAAACAGTGTCACCTGCGGCGGCGGCGGCGGCGGCCGCGGCCGGCTTCGCCCGCACCTCTACATCTCCCTTCAGCCCATGCGTCGTTCCTGCCTCATCACCATTCCCGCCGGCGTCAGGTCGGCTGACCTCCGGCGTTTCTTCTGCTGTAGCTGGTGGTGGTGGATTCGTTTCGATACTGTTGTCGACGGGCTCTTCCTTCGCAGGTTTTGGGGGGTTCCTGCAAAAAAGAGGGAGGGGCACACAACCAGTGTACAGGTTGTGTTAAGGTTTACAGCACGCAAGGAGAGTCCAATACACGCGGGGTCTGGCGTAGATGCCTCCTGGCGCGGAATGATTGACTTCGCCGCCACGGGGAGTAGAGAATCGGAGCATTTTCCCCGGATGTGTGCACACAGGTCTACGACTACCTTTTGCAGGAGGCGTACCGGGGTTGCATAGCTTTCGATCGCCACCGCAAGAATTTCGATTGATACGGACACCAACATGTGTTTCAAGCGGATCCAGTAAGGTGCAAGTACCTATGCATAACAGAAAACAAACTCATCAAGTCCAAAATACACGCGGAGAAGTCGATGTGAAGTCGAGGTGGACAAGAGGATCAAAACAACAGAAGGAAAGGGGAAACAAAAGAGACAAAAGAAAGGAGAGTCTTATTGAATTCATTGTTACTCCACGTGCTGCGGCACGGGTGTCGAATTAAGCCCCTTTGAAGAAGTAGCATAAAGCGCGTGACGCAATACCACGGGTGTAACCTGCCGGCTCTCAACTCACTACATGAGCGCACACGGGCAGGAGTGCCACTCCAACGGCGACACGTCTACTGGCGTCCCATGTAAAGCCAGAACCCTTTAGCCTTGCACTCAATTCGCGCAAGTCCTCTAGCGGAAGATAATCAGTCCGAGTTCGTGTTGTCGCAACAGAGAGATCATGAACGAGACGGTCGGGATACTACAAGGCGGTAAAAGGTACTATAATACTCTCACGTCTCATCCGATGTCGCGTCGGCGGGAGCGGGATGCGCCGCTGCTCCTTTCTTTCCTCTGGTTGATACCTGGGTGTCAAAGAAAGCAAGTGTACAGATCCAGAGAAGCACACCATCCGTTACGGGAGGGCAGACCATCGCCTCAGAGGTGAATGCAAGAGCACCCGTAATCGCCACGAGGGAGACAGCAGCAGACGGAGGAGGCCGCCTGGTTGTTTGTGTGTATTGTTTGTGTTCAGTGTTTTACGATGGGTGAGGACTGCAGTACTGAGGCAGGGAACATCACTCTCACTCACCATTTTCCCTTCTGTCACACCAACACCGCCACCGCGATAGTCTGGAGCTCAGTTGCGACTTCACTGCTGTATCTGCTGCAGGCTGTGCCACAGACAGCAGTGGGCAGCGCGCTGAGAAAGTGGAGCTCTGAGCAGTGACAGGCAAGCACATGGTATATAGAGCGACAGGTGGGGGCACCGTGGCTAAAAGGGAGTTGCAGCATGATGGATGGGGTGTTGGTTTGGTTCGAAAGTGAAACCGCTACGGCACATGTGACATCTGACAAGTCGACACATCCGCACATCTTTTACCCGCTCGCCTCTCACGCTGCCCATACTTGTTCGGGCGCTGATTCTGCGTTGTTCAACGAGGAGCTTGGAGACCATGATATCTTCATGCTGGACACCAGATCGAAATGAACTGGTGGGGAAGCTTGTCAGACGGTGAGCAACTGCACCTAATGCTCTTGGATTCGATCCTATTCTGCGGATGTCATTTACATGTCATTTACAAGTAACGATATAGACCATTGTAGTCTATCCGGGGCACACACATGGGGACTTATGGGCTATCCACCTTCGCTATGTACGGTGAACGTACAGATGACCTACGAAAAACAACATGTAGTGACTCATCATACTCCTAGGTGTCTACACCAGACGCCGCAAATATAATCTCATGTCGCAACAGCAGTTAGTTACCGTGACTACTGCTGTACTTTCTTGTAGTGTCCCATGCATGTCTTGCACACAGGGTTAATTCTGGCAGCTCGATGAAGACATGTATCCTTCCACCCAATCACTACAAATACAGCTTAGAACTATCTCCCTTGCTGGAATACGTCCATATCTCGACCATTGTGTACCTTTGTCTCTGTCTGTGTCCGCTGTGTTTGCCCAGGTTCGCTTTCGACTTTGACGCCGTATCAAACGCTTTCCGAAACCACCTGCAAAGGGAAGGCGTGGATTTCAAGTCCGAAGAAACAGCTCCAGCGGTAAGACACTACCACTGTCCTTGCTGTATTGATCTTACAGAATAGGAAGAACCCGACTTCTTGCCACGACGTTCGCCGGCTGTGTGGACGAAGCCTATCCCCGCGCTGAGTCACGGTTGCGGCGTTTCACAGGACTGGTGGACGATGATGAAGAAGCTGCGGCATAACTACGGAACGTAGTTTAGACTACTATCTTTGGCGTACGTTGCTCATATTCTAGACTACCAGAATAAACACTGCTCCACCCACCCACCACCCACCCCCTTCTTTCCCATTCTCCTATTGATTTCTCAATTGCAGGCCCTGAGAAAAGTATATGCGAGTTTGGATCGAAAGAGACCTCCACGTGCAGTAGAGAGCGCACCTTTGCCAGGCGTCAGGAAAGAGAACGACGAACCAGGGGGAGAAGCCGACCGCACTCTTGTAGACGTGTCAGGTGGTGATTGGGATAGCATGGGGACTGGTTCGCAAGGAAAGTTGAACGGGTACATCATGGGCAACCTACATTCAAGTCGCTCCGGCTCGGTGACGGGGGAAGGATACAACAATTTACCACCACCTGAAAGGAGCGACCAACTTGGAGCAAGCGATGACTGCCCCTCCGAACGAGAGGATGTTCAACACACCTCCGGTTCAGATGAGGGGGAAAAATCAGTAACTGCACCATCATCACTACCGTCGACGGATGAATCAGGGTGGGATTTCGGCAGGTTCCTTGAGGAGCAGAGGCTGAAAGAGATTCAACACGACGATCGAAAGGAAAAAATATTCCAGAAGGTTCGTGACACATCGGACATGTATTTACGGCGATGGCTCATTCAAACGTTGAACTAGTCGTAAAACGCAACCTATGAACCTTTCGTCTATGTGCGTGTACTGATTGCATGACTATTATCCGTGTAGGTATGGTGCACGTACCAGTTTGTATTCCACTGATCGGAAAAAGCTAGCAGAGTAGGTAACCTTGTGAGGCCCGCACATCACACATAAGGTGTTGAAGTGCTTTCCGGGTGTTGACCCTTTTGCTTTGGCGTGCGGCTAAAATTCATCTGTGTTCTAACCTGGAAGGTGTTGTCAGCCCTTGGAAGCACCGGTGAAGGTTCTACTGCTAACGACCTTCCACCAGACATCCTCCAAGCGTGGGGAGCAAGAAACGAAAAGCTTGCAGCAGAAGCCGAAAGCGCCCAAACACGCCGGAATAAACTTGAGGTCGGAAGGTTGGTCCTAGCTCTCAGCGTTCGTTGTTGTTTTTGAAGGTCTCAAGTTTCCCCAAGAACCAAAGGGTTTTCTGAGAAAACAGTGGAGCAGTTGAACCTTGAAACGTGTAGGGCGTGCGAAGCACTTGTTTGATCTCTCACAGTAGGATCTTCTCCCATTGTTCCCGTCCGCCGCAGCTTGTGTTCATAGTGCATTGGAGGGGGGCTGCAAACGGGAAATGAGCAATTGCTGTGTATCTGAAGGTCGCCTTATTGCCACGATAACTCACTTCCTGCCTACTTTCCCGACTCATCCTCCAACATGAGATGTCTCAGACTGCCGTGTGGAAGTTGACACTGATACAAAAGGGATAGTGTTGCAGAACGGGGTGTAGATGGTACAGAGCGTGCTCTCGTACAGCGGTAGGCACGCGCAGGGTTTGACCCTTTACGCTGCCGGTGGAAAAAAAGGCAACCGGGCGGTGGGGGGGGGAGGACCGTGGCCACTTTCACCGCGATCAAAAACCTTCTGAGACCGAACACGAGCGAATTCTTCCATCACTCATGTCGACAACCTCCTTCATTCAACACGCAGGAGGATCGCCACCTTGCCTGTCAGCGCCAGTCGTTGAAGAAAAGATACCTTCTGGATAGCGAGGACTTCATCGGCGAGGACCCTCTCGGTCTCCTAGACGATACTACGGCCCCGGCCTTCCAGCAAGAGGAAGGAGACATTGCGGGAGGTCTGTCTCCACGTCAATCCCACCGCCAGGAGGAGGCCGAGGAGAGGCTTCAGGGTGATGATGCCCACACGAGTCACCAAGCAGCAGCAGGGCCAGTGCGGTTAGAGCTGGGAATGGACGCGGAAGAGCTCGACAAGATTCTGAACGAGCTTGAGGTGAACGACGCGCATCCACTTGTGTGGTGTTGTGCTATTATCATCCTGAACCTGGAGAAGAGCCCCGTCTTGCAGCAGAACCGTTGGGTATTTGACCCTTTTACTTTGTCTTGCGACATTGAATGGCTTTCTTCGAGGCGCACGAAAATTCGCATAACGGGGTAAGGGGTATAGGAGCGAGTGCCAAACCGCATGAAAACATGACTATATTGGTTTCGCGCCTCCCGCCTTGACCCACCCTCGTACAACCGACGTGGTCCTCTCTTCGCAGCGAGAGTCGTCTCTCGCCGGAGGCGGCTGGGCAGAGACCAACTCCGAGTTGTCCCGAGTTCTCGATGAGCTTGATGCCGCTGCCAGCGAACCCCCCGCGAATGCCGTACTTCTCCAGGATACTCGGGAATGACATATTGGGCTTGCAGCGTCATTTTGTGTTGCAGTGGCGGGCTTCACTGCTGGTGTTCGGCGTTTTCTTGGAAAAGGGGTCGTAAGCTAAGCGCGACCATCGAGAAATACAGCAAGAGCTCAGGATTGACTTTGTTATTGCAGCGCCTGTTGTTTGGTGTGGAAGAAATCCTTGGGAATCGCAATGTTTTTGCCAAACGTTTTTTTGTGCCCATCATGTATCCTTAGGCGAGCCGTGGAGAGCCACTATTTGTTTCGAAACACCTTGCTTCTTTGTCAGGTCAGAGCGTGTTTTTGTGCCCCCCATCTATTGATGTTGGAGGGTGACAGCGTACCTCCCGCCGTCTGCGATGAGTAGCGGGTTGCGCGTATCGGTGTCGTTTGCAGCAGGCTATGCTGGAATGATTATGTTTCTGCCTGGGTGTGGTTGACACCTGAGGTTCTACCTCTACGTTGCCCGCCACGAGCTTGTCTCTGACTCGTTCGGGAATGAAAGACGTGTCGCGAGCTAGGTGCGGGTTGCGTCGAGATGTGTTTACGCGTATATGCAACTTTCGACAGTGGAGGTCGTGCGCCTGATTTCGTTGTTGTACGCAACAAGGAAGAAGAAGTTTAGGCTCGGAATATCGAAAATCTCGGTCCACACTGCTTGGGCCACAGCGACGTGAACGCTGCCCTACATATAGTCTACAACACAACATGTTAGTAGGGGGCGGCAGCATTATTAGACTATTTGATCACATCGATGTACCGGAAGAAGAGCTGCTCCGTCGGCACTACTTACACCATGCCTATCCAGGACTCATCACACGTTCGTCCGTTGCCCTGATATGTTTTCTTAGACAAAATGGCTCTCATGTAGGAGAACCTTTGGAGGTCGGTCCCAGCCCTTCGTGCATCCGTCGTGCCATTAATAGTCTACGTCGTCAAGTGTACCAGAGGTATTACTCTAGGTGTGTATCAAGTATTGCCTGTGGTGCCTCCTCTAAAATAGACAGCGTATAGACTCGACATACTCATCACAACATCAAGGCACAGTAGTGGTTCGGCGATGAGAATTGACCGACACCCGATTGATTAATGTGACCCTCTACCGCACAGAGATTCCCGGGAAAGTACATTTTGTCGAATGTGCACACAAGGTAGACTATAATAGCTACATCGTTGGTTCCCTGATGCTAAAAGTGCGACTCCCTTTTTGGCGATCTAGATTATGCCGTCGGTCGGGGTGTGCTTCTACTGCAAGTCCTGTCGTCCAGGTATGCATGTGCGATCCGCGTCGCTCTGCTTCTCCTGTAGTCTAAGTTAGAAGTTCATCTGACAGAGCCGGTCGGTCTACACTACAGCAGCAGTGTGCATACAACGTATCGAACAACAGCTGGTGGAAGCTGTTCGTCCATCAGCCCACGTGCAATCGTGCAATTGCAGCCGGCAAGTAGCTTCCCTTGGGATTACTCCTCGTCCGTCTCCATCTCTCTCGCAAGTGAACGGCCCAACGCGCCCCAGATTTTCACCTGCCACAGATCCAATGATCCAAGGCCAGCAGCAGCAGCAATGGATCCAAGACCTGCCGGACCCCCGTCGAACCTTCATCTACGGAGCCCCCACTACAGTGGACCACCAAAACGCTTGATACCATGCCCACAGCCAGCAGAAACATTGGTTAGCCTTCATGAACTGCGCCATCATCCCGTTCAGCCGACGACGAGGAAGGTGCTCGTGGCTACAAGTCATTCGGCTACTACGATGTATGATGTGCTGGAAAACTTCCTTGTTGCTGCTCATGTGTTGTTCTTCCTTCCGCATGTCAACAGCATTCCTTTGCGGGACGATCAGCGGAGGTTCTTATCATGACAGACAACAGCTGGTTGTAGCTGCAGCGATGGAAGCTGCAGCGACAAGGGGCTCCAGCACCATCAGCGTCCAGATCAAGCACAGCACGAGGAACCCCGTCGATGCATATCAGGTGTGCGCAGGGACAAGGAGATGCAGGGCAACAGTTCGGTCTCGCTTCCGCGTAGTTGAGCGCGCACGAGAGAAGAACTTGCATAGAGGTGCCAACGAAGGTTCAACTTGGTTGTCAAGAGTAGACGAAAACACAGCTGCTCTACTCTCCGCCTCCGGCGGGAATACCCACGGCCGTAAGGGCTCTGGCCATCGAACACTGATGATGAGTTTTTGCTTGCTTGGAGATGCAGGGTACACAGACCTATACGCTTGTCTCGAAAGACCGGGGAAGGACCGGGGCGGGGCAGATTGAGCCCAGTCCCTCCCGGCAATTCAAAGGCAAACATGACAGATTCAGCCCACAGTCTCCACAAAAATTCGAAGGCAAACCAAGGCAAACATGACAAATGGAGCCTCCCAACCCAGAACCAACAAAATATGGCAAAATCTCTAGTCTAGTTAGTAACCATGTTGTCCAACCAACCGACTGAAGACGGCTACATAACGAACCATACCCCCTTCGCACGAACCGAACCGAACCCGACTGCCGCCGCCGCCGCCGACGACGACGACGTCGACGACGACCGCAGCTTTCTGGCTGCGGCAGCACCTTCTACGCCAGCGGGTACGACCAGAACGGGAACAAGGACGGCTTGGTCTTGATGCAGACGATATCCGGCGTGCTGGACGATGGCCGAGAAGTGATCGGGGTGGTCAAGCCTGGGAAGTACCCCGGGGGCGGCTCGGTGCTCGTCGAGGAACGCCACCTCGTAGACAAGCCCCAGGGCCTGGGCTGGGACAAGGCTGCGATGCTGCCCTTCCTGGTGAGAAAGCCGGCGTTGTTGCACACGCACGCATGCCTCAAGTGCGAAATACTACAATAGCCTCCGCCCCAATCGTATCAAATGTCGTGATGAGTATGCCTGCCTGTATCTCGCTTGCTACACTTGTGCTTGGCTCCGGCTGCTTTAATTGCTTGGGAGCAACAGGGACCAACTAATATATATATATTTTGCGTCCTTACATGTTCCTGTTCGTTTTCTCGCCGTTTCGTCTACAAACCCTCAAGGCGATAAGTTGTCTGTGGCCCTTGTCGGAGGCGGGGTTCGGCGACTCCATGGATGCTGGACAGACGTTCGTCGTCACGGGAGGCCATGGCAGCCTGGCTCCTTTCGTTGTCGCCGTCCTGAAGGCGTGGGGGGGGCGGGTGGCTCTGGCGACGACCAAAAGCGAAGGGTAAGGGCGCGTTGTTGCGTGATGGGGATCTGCTATCGTTGCGATGTGTAGCTGAATAGCCGCCCGTGGCGTTTTCAGGTAGCTGCTCATGGGACCGAACGCGCGCAAGGGCCTCAAACCAAGCAGCTTGTGCGCTATTCTCCATCCCACACCTGCGCACGGAGATGCCACTACTGCAGTATATGCGAAGAGTACTTACACCTCGGTTTATGCGCGTGACAGACAGAACCCGAAATCCGCTACTACTCTTGAATGGCCCACCAAACGCGTTGACCCCACGCACAACAGCTACTCTCAAGCATAGCGCAGTCCAGCTTGAAAACGGTAGTCGAAACGGTGCTCCGCAAAAAACTTCTTGCGCCCTGACCAGCGAGCAGCACAGCAACCATTGCCCCATATTTTGGAGGCGTTCAAGCCACGCGCAAGGCAAAAATGAGACGCGGCGGCGGCTGCGGCGGCGGTGGCTGGTGAACCTTCCCCCAAGTCCCACAACCAAGGGACGTCGAAGCAGCCCCCCTTCCTCCATCAGATGCTCATCACCACCATCGCCGTTGTGCTCCTAGACGACCGTGTGTGAAGCGTTGGCGGGTGCGTGCACTACAGCAGTAGATCGAGATCGAAATCACGGGGATGACCAAAGCGCTCATTTTCAGTTTTTTACGCCGTACGTTTTGTTTTGGCTCGCCCGCGGGGGTTACGCGCGCTTGCCTGTGTCTCTTCAGGGGGGCGCGAGCGCTGGGAGCAGACCTAGCGGTGGACTTTCGGAAGGAGAGCTACAGCGACGTGGTGCAAGACTTTAGCGCCGTGGTCGACACTCTCGGGAGGGAGAAGGAAGGGCCGCAGGACATGCTGAAGGAGGCCAGAGGGGCCGAGTACGTCTCCCTTCAACCCTCCATCCTAAAGGTAAATTAAGGCAACGCGAGCTACTCGGTTTGCAGAGCATACTGTTGTTGTTGTTGTTGTTGTTGTTGTTGTAGTTGAACAATCATTTTTTTGAAACGCGTGTACCCAGTACAAATAGTAGTCCCTGCGAATACAACTCGTGGAGACGAAAGCCATTTTGTCGGAGGTATAAAAACAGCAATATATTTTGGTGTGTTGTGGCAGTTGACTTGCGAGAGTTTCGTTTTTTTTGCAAGACGAAGAAACAATGGTAAGGGTAGGTTCACTTAGTTGCAGGCTTTTTTTTACTCTGGCAACGCATACATGGACCGCAGAGAGTGGATATATCCGAGAATCACCCCGATCGCTGAAACTAGAATGCGTTCAAAGTGAGGCTCAAGACTTCGGGACGAAGCCACGCTCGTCAGTCAAAGAGTAGACAGCTTTTGGCTTTTGTTGCCTTGAGCACAAGTCTTTTGTGTATCATTGTCGCTCATCACATTCTCCTAGCCCCAAAATATACGGACCCTCAATTTTGTTTTTCGGGCAGGGGGTTGGGTCGTGTTGCCACGTGAAGGTATCGGCAACGGGTCACCCCCCCCAACAAGCATCGACATATGTAACGCCGCGACTCAGGCACGACGGCGACTTACCGAGATACGCCCTGGCCCCATGCGCGACGCCCAACTCCACTCCCACCTACTCCCTCTCGAAGAAGCGTGATCAATGGTCTAACCGCTACGGCATGCAAAGCATGACAGCAGTAGTCTAACGCGTTTTTTTTTTTTTTAAGTAAGCAAGCATACTGGATAAAGTACACAATCGACTAAGTTGGAGGTTGGAGGTTGGGGTTACGGTCTGCGTGCGCCCTCCCTGCTGTCTTGTTTTCGTAATAGACTTACTTTCCTTGCGTACAGGGAGTCCAAACATGAGAGTACGCCCCACCCCTCTCGTCCTCCGAAGGTGGCCGTGGAAGACGGCCTGCTGTTTGGGTCGGGTAAGATCTTGCAGTATCAGAAGACCGTCGCGAAGGACGACAGCAGGACGTACTTCCTCCCGAACCCGGAGGCGGTGGGGCTGGTCTCGCAGGTCTCGGCGCTGGTCGCCGCGGGGAAGGTGCGGCTAGGGGAGGTCGGCACAGACTACGTGGGCATGCAGGAGTACCTGGAGGCTCTGGCCTGGCCCAAGGACACCGACACCGGCCTGCGGTAAGAACCGCCCGCAATGCCGCCACTGCTGCTGCTGCTGCTGCTGCTGCTGCTGCTGCTGCTGTTGTTGTGCTGCTGTATTCGCAATGGAAACCGTTCCGATCCCTCTCCCCAGTACCTTCATCTGTCCATGCTGATATTATAACGCTGGACGCGGCAGATTCCCGTGGTCACAATCTATTGTAACTTAACCTGTAAAAGGTGTACTGAGAATGAAATGGACCCGAAGGGGTCCGCGTAACGTTAAAAACAATACGTTCCTTTTTAAGTATTCCGGATAGCCATGCTGTATTAGCACCCGCACTTACTTGTCTGTTTTTCTGTTTGGCCCGAAAATCTTGTTATCTTTTTTGTGTGGCAGTGAAGAGGTGAATCGGCACACAACACGAGAGCATGTTTCCTGACGAACCAACTCGGGCTGAAAACAAGTATTTACCCTCTTGCACGACGTCGACCCTGAAGGGCGTCTCCCGCGACACGAAAAAGAAGTACCTCATGAAACTGCACTGTATGATTGCGCTTCAGGCACACAAGACAACAGCAGTCATGGATGGCAGAGCGGTTTTGCATGATGCTTGTGGTATCCGCAACCACGTACAGCCACCTCTCCTTCTGACTCGGCGGGGGGTGGTATTCTACGTGTGTATCAGCTGAGATCAGCAGTCCGTCCGTCCTTCGGAGGCAATATTCACTCACGTGTCGCCCACGCGCTCTCGCTCCAATACCCTTTTCAGGTTCGGCTTTCCAGGAAAGACGAACAGGTCTTGGGGTTGGCTGGGGGGGGATAGTCTCGACGAAAGGCTCGCTTGGGAAGACGAGGACGAGGAGGAGGAGGACGAGTGGGAGGGCGAGGCGGGAGAGGGAGACGGCGGTAGGGCCGTCTCGCCAACGGGAGAAGTGGTGGGGTTGAAGAGCCGGGAAGACTTGAAGGACCTCGTGAGGGAGGGGGGAACCATGATCTTCGTTAGCTCGAGGAGTTGCCGGGCCTGCAAGTACCTAACGCCGTGAGTAATTCTTAAAATTTGATGAGTTTGTATTCGCGCTTGCTTAGGGCTTGGCTCTCTGGGGTCACGCGTTGAACGGCAGGGGTTGCTGCTCGCCGCCGTGCAGCAGCTGAGTTTGTGTGGCCGGGGTAAAAGGCAGAAACGTCTTGGCTATGCACACCGCGGACCCTCTTGTATATTTGGTTTTATCGGCTGTTTCGCGGACGCGCGGCTGGAGCGGATTGTCACGGCGGTGTGGTTGTACCGAGCTGGAATTCATACCGCCAATCCAAGCGGCGAGGAGGCTATAATCCCTTTTGGCTGGCTGCTTGTAGTGCTCCCGTCCACCGTCCATTCCATAGTGCCGGTTTCGGTTTTTGCCGGATTCCATAGTGCCGGTTTCGGTTTTTGCCGGATTACAATGTGATGCGGAAGGCGTGTTCAACAGACAAGGTGCTGTTCTGCATGTACTACGACGTCGATCAGCTTCACAACAAAACGACCCCCTAAATAGCGTACAAGACGACCCCTGTAGTGTCAAGTCTCTTGCCGGAAACCGTCCCACACTTACAGTCCCCATAAACTGCTCTACGGGCTCGGCAACGCCTCGTCTGTTGCCACCAGGTTTTACCGCAAGCTGGCGCGTAGACAAGAACAGGTGTTGTTCGGGCGCGTCGACGCGTCCTCTCACCCCGAACTGGCGCGACAACTAGGCCTGACGGCCGTGCCTTCCTTCGTTACCTTCCGGGAAGGGGAGGTTGTCACGAGCAAAGCAACAAGTAGCAAGAAAAATATCGAGAAGCTTGTGGAGGAGCTGTTGTACGAGTAGGGTCAGGAGGACGGGGGGGGAGCATGAGGAATCAGCGCCCGTTAGATGCGCAGGTTCTACGGGCCTGTGTTCGGGGCTATGGGGGCCCCGCAGGAGGATACAGGGGTGGTGTCCCTGCCCTGGGCTTTTGACACATGAAGCTGTTCCTGTTCGATCCTTACCCTGGAGGAGAGGCCGAGCAAGAAGTTTGCCCAGATATCACAGGTAATCTTGTTGCATGCGGAGGGGATGGACCACAGTGTTTCGTTGGATGCCGAGAAAATAGTCTGCAATGTTTCAAGTCGATTGGCAGAACAATGAAAAATTGTGTAGATGCATATACATGCTTCGTGAGATACGGAATATTTGAGAGTAGATCCATTTTGAGATACGAGCAAGGTTCTAATGTTTGAGCCATGTTTTTCCGACGCGGCGTAGGTTTGATGAAACTCCGAGGGAAGTATATTTAGAGAACTGAAGGCGTTTTGGATGCTGCGTTTAGTTTTGTGTTGGTGCGTCACCCGTTGTTCTTGAAGTCGTTTTTGAAACATGGAATACCAACGGCATTCTGGAAATAGAACCACAATTTGTTTTTTACCATACTGCATTTACCGCTCGTGATGCGGAGCTTCGTGCTCTCTCTCTCTCTCTCTTAGCGATGGGTGGTCGGCCAGTGTGAAAAAAACTGGCTGGGAGGTGTCCGGTGGTCATTTGGTCAGGCACCGAACGACCGCTTTGTCGCGGTTTTGTCGGCATACTCCCAACTTTGTTCATGTCTTCTGGCGGGTGGTCAACCCCGAAGGCGTTCCATGACGCGTGGGTGCACAATCAACGCACTGGCATCCGCGACATGACGTGGCGGGGGAACGCTCACATTTCTTCTTTTACTGGCGCCACGTACGGGACGGCATTGGTGCTGTCTCCGTCCTAACAATGCTCGCACCATTCTCTTTAAGTTAAATGCTAGACCAGACTTGTGTTGGTTCTTGCGCTCGGTCGGGCTACTACATAGTGGCAAGCACAAGGCGCTTTCAATCAACGTATCGTTTCCAGCGGGGATGGTTGAGTACATGTTGAAAAAAGTGTGTGTTGGTGCCGTCAACACTCTTAATTCAATTGCCTTTGTATGCAAGGAACCGGCGCGGACGCCGTGAGTGTCACCTCAACCACCTTTCGATCTCACGCCAAGGCACGTACGACGTGAAACCGTACCCAACAAAATGCCCCCCGATGGCCTGTAACGAGGCGTTGGTCGGTACCCTTCCTCTCGAGCTGAATTGCAAGAGCTAAAGATTCGATCTTGCAGTAGTAATATTGTCTGCATGTGATACGTCTGAACATCAATCAACACCCAAGCTAACAAAAAAAACTGACCACCAATACTGGCTGTATCGGGGATTCACTTGCCATAAGGCTTTAATGACCAACTATTTTACACAACTGCCTGCCGCTTGTTGGGACGCCCCCCGCCCCGAGAGAGCGTACACCACAACCTTCGAACAACTTCTCTGCTCTAAAAACTAAAAGTGGCGCAACTGCTGTCACGTAGATAGAATGGCCTACACCAAACGGGGGAGCTGCCCCCTCCAGTCGCTGTACTCGACGAACTTCACTCCGTACCCGTCCGGGTCCGCGACAGCTACGGACTTTCCACCTCCTCTCGCGCTGTCCACGCTGACCTTCCCACCCAGGCTTTCCGCGATCTTCTCGACGTCCTCCGCCAGAACCGCGACGGACACGACGCTGCCCGGGTTGATCTGGTCCCCCTTCGCGGCGGGGATAAGGACGACTCCGAACGCCTCCCCCTCGTAGGCCATGAAGACGCTTCCCGCGGGCTGCTCCGGCTCGAAGGGCGAGCCGGCCTCCCGGGCTCTCGGGAACGGGAACTTGGTCATCCCGGCGACGTCGGTGTACCATTGCACCGACCTCTTCATGTCCTTCACCTTGACGGCGAGGAACATGGGAGGGTCTCGTCTCGAGCCGCTCAAGAGCTTCAGCCGAAGCCCTCCGGGAGCCAAGACCTGGAGGTACCCGTACCCGGACTCGATGATTCCCCCGGCCTTGACCACCTGAGATATCCGATACGAGTCTACCGCGATCTGCAGGAACTGGACGCCGTTTCCGGGGTCGTAAAAGAAGTCGACGTCCTCTTCCCCGTCCTCCGCCGCCCCCGCCTCCTCCTTCTGCGAGTTGAGCTCCAGGGTGAAGTGGCCCCCGTAACCGTTCGTCGAGCTCACGCCGAAGACGAAGGACGGCGGCACCTCGAGCGCCTCCGGGCCGAAGCCGACGACGGTCGTGTTGAACAGGGGGCCTGCCCGCGTGCGGATAACCTTCATGCCGACGCCGTCCACGTAGAACTTGAGCGCGGCCGCCATGTCCGGCACCTGAACGGTGGCGTGCTGGGCGAAGCGCGCCTGGTCTTTGAACTCGTACAGGTCTCCGATGGCCTCGGCGGCGCTCGGGAAGCCCGCCCCCGCTGTTGTTGCCGCCGCGATTGCGGCGCTGCCTCCGGCGAGAAACGCGGCGGAATTGCGCAGGAAATCTCCTCTGCCTGTAGGCTCGGCTCCTCCTTCCCCTCTTCTGCTGCTGCTCCGATCAGATGCTTGTGACTCCGACATGAGCACCTGTGTCGCCGAACACGTTGCTGTGTGCTGCTTTTGTTGCACCGGCACAGAAGGCCGGGCTCCTGCAGAGCACGCCGTTTGAAAAAGGACCAACAACAGGAAGGACGAAGAAAAAAAGACAGAGACGAGGAGGAAAGTCGGTTAGTCATTACCAGCGCGTGGCGAAGAGCCAAAGGGGATTGAAAGAGGCCCTCGCCACCGAGTATCTGTGTATATAGCATGTTTGCCGTGAGAGAGGCCCCGTTCATCCCCATAAAATGTCGCCCCAGCTTTCGGCAGCGGTACACACTGTTCTCAAGAGAAACATCTACAACACACAGGGAAAAAGGTGCGGTTGCAAATACGAAAAACAAGTGAGACGATCGAGGGGCGATCTCAAATTTACGTAGATTCCCGTCACTCTCTTAATGACGCGAAAGGGACAGCGGCCTGCATCCACGGCGAGAGACCGGACGGGGTACTTCGCTCTGGACCACCTTACCAAGAAGGGTTGACCGATATCGCCGCATACCCTACAACACTGGCAATGTAGTCGTAGTTTGCCACTGCTGGCGCCCGACGTCGTGGGATGACTTTCAAACCTGCTTTGAGAGAGAAACTGGAATGGTGCGTATTTAAGGCTACTGCTGTAGTTGTAGGGCCCTTGCCACTCACCTAGCCCGAAGCCCGCCGCTTGCCAGACACGAATGTCTCCGCACGTGCTGAGCACGAGGAGTTGCGCCCATCTCACGCAGCGGCATGTGCTGGAACGCGTTTTCATCGTGTGATTCTAACCAAGCCCACGCCCGGCTCGACCTGAGTTTCCGAAACGTTTTGAACGGCGTGATCTTTGCTGCGCACTTCATGCATAAGCAATTATGGATATCATGTCCTCTCCAGCGATGAAAAGCGGGCAGGCACAACATACGGCAGAATGCCAGACCAAACACTGTTGTTTGTGGACCATGGGGATATCCGTGTTGCATATTTCTGTCTCTCACGCGTGTCTCCTGCTGAAGACTTCACAGCTACGAGCCTGGTCTACAAGTGCAACTACCGCTTTGTCGGAGTAAGTCTTGAGTTGAGGGGGGCGGTGGCATTGGGTCCACCGAGGGGGAGGTTCGCACAGCAGTAGGAGAGCAACAACGAGAATGAAACAGCAGGGGTACGTACATGGCGGCGGGATGGATCGGCTAACCGCAGTTTGACCCAACAGCCGTGTGTGTGGTGTTCAGGTTGCCTGGTTGCTGCGTTCCGTTTTGTGGCAGAGACTCACTAGCCGTTTGGTCCAAACACGACCCATTGCCGCTTGATACTGAAGTCACAGAGCTATAGTGTGCATATCGTAAAAATTCACCGCGTGGCAATTCTCTACCCTGGGAACAAACCTCGCGAGCATAAGAGAGAGAGAGAGAGAGAGGCAGAGAAAGAGAGACGGAGTAGAGGACTACAGACTACAGTATACCTGGGTATGAGAGAGAGAGAGAGAGAGAGAGAGGTCGCCAACTCTTTGACGTTGTAGTACATGTATGTATGCTCATGAACCATGGACGGTGCATGAAGCAAACTCCTTACAACAGCCTGGGCCGAGATCGTGAGCACCCGCCCAGCAACAGCCTGAGGGCGACAATTGCGCTCTTACCTGGGCCACTCTTGCGAAAAAGGTGTAGAAGGTGTGCAGCTGTCGTGTGAGGTGTCAGAGGCCAGCGTGCCAGCGTGCAGGGCAAACAAGAGGTTGCGGTCTGGGTTGTGGTTCTCTCGCCTGAGAGGACAAAACGCCGCCCGAACCAGACAGGGTTTCCACGGCGCTCTCGCCCTGCTGGTACTGGTAGCTGGTAGCTGCCAGTTTGCCAGCCTCCCAGAGTGCCCCGTGCCCGCTGCCAATGTTTCAGCCCACCGATGCAAGCGCTTTGGCCTCAGGACCGCACCCGTTGACTCAACGGATCAACGAAGAACAGGCGGTTCTCGAGTTCCACGGTAAGATGCAGTACTCCTATGTAGCATTACAGTAGATGCATAGCGCCCTGTGCAACAGCCGGAGCTACAACGGCGACAGGTGTGGTGGGTGTTGCAGAATACCCATTCATGCTGTCTAGGTCGACCTTACTCTCTTGCAAGCTTGCAAACATACACCGGAGGCCTTGCAACGGACGTGTAGTGTGCCCTGTACGCCTGCCTGCACGACGGCGCGAAACATGAACGGATTTTCGTGCCAGGTGGTTCTCGTCTCTGGGCGTGTGGAACAATCCGCTTTTTGTCCCCGGCCTGGCTCTTGTACTATTTGGATCTGGCGGCAAACATGCGTTTCGCATCTTTGGCTGGTGCTACAAATGGTAGACGTCTCCCTTGTGGAAAACATGCTTACAACCAGTGAGAGACTGCTGCGCGGTTCGAGACAATACCCCGTTGCAACCAACGGATGTATGTGTTGAAGTCTTTCAAGTGAGTGTTGAGGGAACCTGCTGGATACCATCTCCTTTCGACAGCTTTAGGAATGCATATGATACATGTACAGGCACCTGGCTACAGTGGTAGAGAGACTCAAAAAAAAAAATCCCTTGATTCCACACAGCAGCGTCTTAAGCCTACCACTGACGACTGCCATTGCTGCTGCTGCGGCCGGCACGCCTTGCTTGCACTGAGACGCCATGCTCCTGTTGATTGCTCGTTTCTGCAGATGACGATCGTCGATTGTTGGAACAAGATCCGCCAGCATCTTCGAGCTACGGTGCGGTAACCTCAGCAGCAGCCGGGGGGGGGGGGCTCGCAGACGGGCGCCGAGAAGGTGGACGACAACACCCGGCGGCGCTAAACCTTGGCTGGGGGGCGCGCCTCTACCTCTGCGTTCTGTTGGTGGTCGGCGTGTCCGGGCTGGTGAGCGACAGCGACGGCTGAGACGGGGGAAACCTTGACCGTTTCGGGTTGTGTGCTGAGAAACTGGAAAACATGTGTTGTCGATGGCAGCTACAGTTGGAAGTGTGCATTAGAAGCTCTCGAATCGTACGACATCGATCACTCAGATTCTGTAAGACAATTGTTGTCGAGTGTATTGCACACAAGCTGGTGCGTCCACTGCGACACGCTTCCACGCAACGCTTACTTCTTTAAGCTTGGAAGAAAAGTTTGTAGCAACGGACAATAGTTGCCGCTGTTCTCTCTTCATTTCATGATGCATGTAACAGCAATGCACAGAGCATCTAGTGACGGCCCTGGCACCGTGGCGGTTTCTTCAGCCCTTCATCAATATCTCAAGAGAGACAGCTTGACTGGGCTCGTTCTATACGGAACATTGGTGGCATAATGAACAATAGCGGTTTTATCCCCGGGCTAGAGAGACAGGAGGCGTACAGTGCAGCGACATGCTGTGATGTGGCATGTTTTGTCTCCCTTTTTTGTTGTTGTTGCTTGATCGATAGTACCTGATACGTCCAGGCAAAAGAGCTGCAGCAGCAGCTACAATAAGATCCTTGGCACCCTCGACGACGCAACAACGGCACAGCAGCAGCTTTTTGCCACCATGCCTGAAGCACCAATGCCGATCTTCATTCCCAGGTCGCGCTGTCTGGAGTCTTTCGCAACTCTCCCGGGAGCGTATCCCTGGAGACCGATGCCGCGTTCCCCTTCACCACCACCACAAAACACCTTCTGAGGCCGGGGCCGCTTTGGGGAGCAGTGACCGGACCCTACCCCACAGGGGCTTGGTGGCTAAACTTGGCGATCGGGGAGGGAGACTTTCCGGTGGCTCCCTTGCCGTGAGTTGCGCGGTTGGGAGTCATGAAGGGCGACGACGACACACTCGTGCGGGAAACCCTTTCCCTAAGTGTTGGTTGCTTTCTTGCGTTGTTTGTCGTGGGAAAGGGTGGTACGCTGCCGTGCGTGTTCTCGTGGCCAGCCACGTGTGTGAGACTCACTAGCGGCTGGTTTAGCCACGTCCCCACCAGCGTCCATGTTGCCGCAAAAGGCAGCAGACCTTGAGTCGGGATGCTCTCCAATACATTTACTTGCGGCGTTTTGATCGAACCCGTGGTACCGCTATTTGTGGCAACCTTGGATTCAACCGATGGAATCACAAGAGTTTGCTGCGGTAATGGTAATGCTGCTGCCTGCTGTGTATAGCATCACACAGCGAGAAACGAGAACGCTGTCCCCCCTGTTTGGGTGCGACGGCAGGCAGTAAGTTCCACAGTGCTATTTAGTACAACACCTTCACACACGCCACGAAGAGGCCTCGACTTGTTCTCCTACGCCCATAAAAAAGGGAACAGGCCGTGGCACCGATCTGCGTCACTCCGGACTGTTCCTCTTGCTACCCTTTTTGCCTTCGGGTTAGGTACACGATCAAGTCGTCGGACGCAGGAGTCGGCGTCTCGTACTCGGCGATGCGGCGGGTGGAGTCCCTGGAGCGCGTGGCGGACGCCTACGCCGCAGACCTCAGCGTGTCCGCAAAGGAAGGAGTGACCGGTCGACACATCGTCAAGTGAGTTTTAGCCTGGTCGTGGTAGCAATGGTGGTGCGACGCGGTAATTTTTTTTCGTTGTTGCTTCGCTTCTTCCGAGGGTATGTAGCTGAGTAGTCTCTCGTTAGAAACTACTGGGCTGGGCTGTTTTGAGATATGGGCACGAGCTACTCTTGTCCTCGCAGAGAATCACCGCTGGGCGTGCTCCCTGTGCTTTCGGACGGATGGGCGGGTTGCGCGCCTTTTTCTTTTCTTGCTTCCAGCAAGACATGACAAACACCGGCTCGAGAGCTTTTGGCACACTGCTCTGTCGTCGACCCAGCTTGTGTTGATCTCTTTTCGATTGCGCACACACCGGGCCGGCTAGTCTCGTCAATTCCCACCTGGCGTCTATACACACACGCACACTCTTCTTCTTCGTTTTTCTTCGCATTTGGGGTAAAGCCAGGTACGATAACCTTACGGTGACTCTCCAGCACGACGCGGCCAACGAGGGGAACTTCCGCACGCTGCTTGCGCGCGGCTCGCCGTACATGACGTTCGAGTTCGCCGGGGCCACCCCTCGGATCAAGGCCAACGGAGACATCCTCGAGGTGTGGCGTGGCGTGGTATGGTTTGGCGTCACATGGCGCGATGTCGTCCATGCACGGCGTAGTTTGATGGTATGTACCATGCGATACACATGCGGTGTTACGCGCGTGGTGCCGTGTACGAGTTGATGCGGTGTGATGTGGTGTAGCGTCTTTGCTTGTGGTTGTGGTGTGGGCAACAGAACCGACGAGACATGCATGTGTAACTGTGGTTGTATTGTTTCGTACGGAACGTCACAGTTTGCCGCAAACCGAATCAAGCGAGTCCAACAGAAAGTGGTGGTGTTCCTTTGCCGACTTTCACCACCACCCCAATATCCAATATTGGTCTATCCTCCGCGTGCCCCCCCACCTCCCTCGCCACCAAGTTGCTCCGCATACCCGGAGACTGCGGGAACAACGCTTAGCGTTTACGAATTGACTGGGAACAGGAACGACATCTCTTTCAAGTTGAAACCATGGTCGCAAGACTGAGGCAAACAACAAGCCGCTATCCCCCTCCCGCCCTTCCATCCCCATGCTAAATTACCTTCCCCCCGTCCCTGCAACCCGCCCAAGATCAACGGAAAGAAGGCTGAGGCGGGCGCTTCCTTGTTCGCGACCACTTTCAAGCTGGCGCTCAGCAATTGGGAGACGTGGGTGGTCTTCACTTCGGAGTCTGTGACATGGAAGGTTACTTCGTTGCAGGAAGTCGAGGTGCGGAAGGGGGTGCAGGTTTTTGGGGTGGGATGCGGAATTTGATGTGATGATGGGACGGGATGTGGGCCTTGGTTTGGTCGTTTGGAGCGGGTGCGAGGGGTACAGTAACGCGTTATATCTGTGCTTTGTGCGTATTGTGGTAGCATTGACCCCGCTTACCGGCTGACCCATGCAAACACCGCCAGTCTTTTGTGTGTGCTCATTTTGTATTTTTCGATTTTGCTCTTGTTGGAGGATTTTGCTCGCAAAATGTCAGGACACGATGGGTTACGAGGGTGCGGGCCTGAAGCGACGGTTGTTTCGCACGCCCATACACGGGGTGCCTGGGCATTTGCTTTCGGCCCTCCCGCGCCAAGGCGTAGTCGTCTCCGTCGCCGTCGCCTCGTTCTTTCCCCCTTGTTCCTGCCGGCCGCCATCGCTTGGAGAAGTCCCTCTTGATCCAGCTACATCGCCGCCGCCACCAGCCGCCGCCGTTCCCACCCGCCTCCGGTACCGTTGTCGGGTCGATTGCCTCCCCCCCCCCCGCCCTCTGATAATCTTTCTTTTTTCCTCTCTCTGGTTCGCTTGCCCGGCCGGCCGCGGCAACACTGCACAAACCGCGGCGGCAGATGAAGGCCCCCTTCTCGGGCATCGTGCGCGTGGCGGTTCTGCCGCACCCGTGGGACTCGGAGGGCGAGATGACCCTGTCGGAGCACGCCTACGCCTACCCCAGGGGGGGGCGTGTGGCGTTCGACGTCGACGGGGACGGGATGGAGATGAGGTGAGCGAGCCCCGGCGACCACGGACCGGGCGGTGTATTGTGTGGTAAGGAGCGGCGTGTATTGTGTGCAGTGAGAGGCGGAAGCTGAGGAGGTTGCCCCGCTGTTTGTTTTTTTGGTCCCGCAAACATGGACGTCGACGCGACGCACACGACCGCAGAATCAGATGTACGGTAGGAGGTGTTTGTTCCGTGCGGTCTATGATAGGATAGGGTGCACGTCTTGTTGAGATACATGAGTGGTGGGTGGCTGTACGCCAATCGGAAGTTCGTGGAACGTTGGGCGGTAGGGCACAAGGTGTGTACGCTGGAGGGTGGCTCTGTGCTCGTTGAATTGAGGCCAGGCCGACGTTCTGTCGTGATAGTAACTGGACAGCAGGCGCCGTGGAAAAGGGGAGGAGGTCCGAAAGCCCCAGGTGCGTGCACAGGAGGCAATAGTCCAGAACGAGATAGAAAATAAACACGAAAACGATTGATTGGTCTTTACCCGAGTCTTCGTGGGTCACACATCCTGCCGAGTGCGGTTCATTTCGGGGTGTTGCTGCTGTGGGGTGGTCCAGATACGAGTGGGATAAGGACGGCTTCGGCGACCTTCTGATGATGGCGCTGCCCCACCACATGGACACCATGGGCGCAGGGGCAGACATCGCGGTCGTCATGGCGGACAGCTACCAGTGCATCAAGGTCAGACCAGCAAGAAATCGGTAGAAAAAACGTGCACACGATTAGGCGGGGGTTGCGAGGTTTCTGCCCCGGGTGGTTTGAGTCGCGATCAACGTTAGGATGGGGTGCGACCCCTAGCGGTTGGTTGGCAGCGGCACCGATGTGCGACCTTGTTAGGAATGAACATTTACAAGGTTTTGGGCGATCGAGCCCCAAGGCACATCAGCGGAGAACGTACAAACAACTGCGGCGGATTGTTTTGGAGCATCACGATACGATTTTTTGGAAAAAGAGGTGTGCGATGGTTGTGTTTGTTTGTCGAGGTTTCATTTTGTGTCCGGACCCAGGGAGGGGAGGGAGGATAGTGCCGTCGTCTAGAAGGAAGGCTGGGTTCCGGGGCGCGCCGGGCGTCGGGGCATGGTTTGAAAAGTTTGTGTGGCTACGCAGGTCCTTTCGACGGCACGAAAGAGACTACCGGTGGTCTGCAACAACAACAACAACGACGACGACGAGCTTGCTACCGACTGACCAAAACGACGCTGCTTCGTTAACTCTCACACACGCACGCGCCTAGCTTGCTGTTAGTCTTTTGGAGGACTACAACATGAAGGCCGGCCAAATAACCCAACAATTGGCCTCCTACGTAAATACCACAATTGCAGTTCTAAGGCACAGGGAGAAATACGGGCGTTATGCTAGTCCTCTTGTCACGAACCCAACCATTGGCGTACGTACCATAAACGCAATTCTAATGCACCGCAGGGAGCAGTACTCTTCTTGACATGGCGTTATGCTGGCCCGCTTTTCACAGGGCCCCATGACCGGGATCGTGGGGAGCGTCTGGACCATGTGGGACAACCTCACGGACATCGCCTGGACCGCCAGAACTCCGCTCCAGGAGGCCGCGCTGTCGATCGACGACCCCCTCCTGTCCCTGTCGTGGGAGAGGCGGATGCGCGACGCCCTCGCCGCCGATCTCAACTCGGTGCTGCCGTCGGCGCCGGACGTATACTCCTTCGGGAAGGAGATCTCAAGGATGGCGAGGCTCGCCCTTGTCGCCGACGAGCTTGGTGAGTACTGTTCTTACTGTTCTTACTATTCTTACTGTTCTTACTGTTCTTACTGTTCTTACGGTTCTTACTGTTCTTACTGTTCTTACTGTTCTTACTGTTCTTACTGTTCTCACTGTTCTTACTGTTCTTACTGTTCTTACTGTTCTTACGTTGTGGTTGTTAGTTGTGGTGGTAACGGTGATGGTGGCGGTGGTGAAAGTGTTGCTGCTGCCCTGCTGCTGCTTGGTGATTGGCCCAATCCCCTCCGTTGCCCGTTCTTTCGTGTTTTGCTATTGGTGCTGCGCTGTTGATTTCCGCTTTTGTTTTGTGTTGTGTTCGGCGGGGAAGGCGACATTCCTGCGCGAGAGGCCGCTCTGACCACGGTGGGGGTCTACCTGACCCCCTGGATGAAGAATGACAATGAGGTGAGGTGTTAACAAGACCGGTGCTGTCCGTTGTCTCCGTCGGGGGGAAGGGGTGATGGTAACGCCGTTCGAAAGACCATGCACCCACGGAAAGCAAGATCTCTGTCTCTGTCTCTGTCTCTGTCCTGCCTTTGTCTCTCTCTCTTTCTCTCTGCTTTTCCTCTCACGCGCACCCGCCAGAAAAAGGGCGTTGGCTTGTAACGTTTACAAGCTGTCTCTGCTGGCGTGTGTAGCGTCCTATTCGTAATAAACAGTGTGCCATGTACATCCTATGCATACATCAAAAGGTCCTCCTCTGGCGTATGTATGCGATGAGAAGATGTTTGGTAGTCAAGAAAAAGAACCGGTGTTCTGTTGCTCCTTCGGGCTATTTTCCTCTCTCTGGTGAAATCCTCGTTCTAGAGTGGGTTGCGGCGTGGAAGTATGTTGCTGCTGCGCAGAAGTCGTTCTTCTTTCTACCAAGAAGAACGTTGTTCGCATTCAGCGATTTAGTACCATACATACCTCGTTAGGCCTGGTGGGTGCAGCGAAACACAAGTGTTTGTAGTGAAGTTTTTCTCGCGGAAGAGAAACATGCCATGTCCCATTCTCCTCCTCGTCGTCCCGGGCACCAACGACGACGACGACGACGCCCAGCGTGAAATCTACCATCTGTAGCCAAGAAACATATCTCGTTGTAGCACCTACTGATGCGCATGTAGCCTAAAACTTTGCCATGTGCCGTGAAATGCCGGTGCCTTCCGCGGCTTGTCGGGTGTGCCTTGAAGGACCTCCTGGTTTACGACAAGACCTGGGGAGGCATCGTCACCAAGGACGGCCTCAACAACCAGAACGCCGACTACGGCAACGCCTGGTACAACGACCACACCTACCACTACGGGTGAGACGATGAACAAGGAGAAAGGAACAGCCGTGGTGACGAAGAATGCAACCGCATGAAGGCACGCACAAGTCAAACGCGGGAAACGTGTTGAACACCGTGTTTGGTTTTGACTAGAGCAGTCGGGTGTAGACCTAACCTCTCGCGCTGATGGATGGATGTTACGCAGTGAGAGGTTGAAGCTACGACAGCAGTGTCGACCAAACTAAGGGCAAAACGCGGCGCACAGCACACGATGGGTTAAGTTGAACAACAACATGCAACGCTTGGTGAACAGGTACCTGCTATACGCGGCGGCGGTGCTCACCAAGTTCCGACCGGTCTTCCACCGGACGTACAAGAAACAGCTCGACTTCCTCGTGGCGGACGTGGCCACGATGGGGGGAGGAAAGATGGCGAAATACTTTCCGACAGCAAGACAGAAGGTGGCCTCCCTGCCTGCCTGATCCACTGGAGAGAGACAAGCAGCATTGGTGTATGGCTGTTTGATTTTGTCTGCGGTGGATTGTTTTTTTTAAGCTCACCGTTTGCACGCACGTGTCTTTCCTGGCGGTAAGTTGTGTACGGTAAAACCACGGTAGAAGAACAAGCGATAGAACTTGGCTGAATCTGTTTTGGTCGCGTAATAGCTGCGAGGCGTATATGGCATGCTGACACGCTATTTGTTTTGCGCAATACCTCGTGTTCATTTGTTCTTCCCCCTCCCTCAAACATGCAAAAATATGTGTCGGCCACTGCTGGATTATTTGTCGTCATTGTTGCTGCTTCATCCTGGCTGACACACTGCCACCGTTTTTGTTTCCGTATTTCCACTGTTGTTTTATCAAACACGCCATGCTCACGCATCCACGTGGGCGCCCCGTTCCATACCACGCCGCCCAGGACTTCTACGACGGCCATAGCTGGACCTCCGGAATGTTCCCGCAGGGGAACGGCAAGTCCCAGGAGTCCGTGTCCGAGAGCATTAACGCCTACTACGGTGTGTACCTCCTCGGCTTGGCCACCGGGGACGACGCCATGAAGGACTGGGGCCGGGTATTGCTCGCGATGGAGGTTCGGGCCGCTCGAAAGTACTGGCAGATGCCCAGACACAACGGGGTGGGTTGCCGTCTTCTTCTTCGGTTGTTGGGTTTGGTTTGGAGTGGCTGTGTGTTCTTGTGTTGGTATCGCCGTAAAGACCAGGCGGTGGGTTGGTCGAACTTGTAGAAATGAACAAGGAAAAGGCGAGCACGCGTGTGCGGAGCTGGCGTGAGCTCCATCGCAAAACTTGAACAGCCTCTGAATCAATACGGCAAATGGTAGGGAGGTTTTCGGGTAGCTCAACCACGCCTTCGCAGCAAACAAGCAAAACTGACGTAGACTAACATGCGTTCAGTATCTTTTGCGGCCCCTCTGTCCCCCTTTCTGTCCGGGTCCCAGCGGAATAAATGCCGTGTCTGTCTTTTGTTGTCGCCTTAGACTCTTAATTCCTTTACTCTTAGGTCAGAAGGTTAACCGTCGATACATACCATCGATGAAGCAGTTGCCTCAAGGTCACCGGCCACGCCCACAACCACGGCGGACATCGTAGGCGGATGAAAGTTCATGTTAGAATAGTGTAGTCGCATCTCGATTATCATGTCTAGGAAGACCATCGGAGGCGGAGGCCAATGGAGTTGCGACAGTAACCCTTAAGCACGCTTTGTTGCACGTATTTTTCTTGCGCTACCTTTCCCGCGTGAACCCACGCGCTGGCGCCGGCCGCTGCTTTGCTGTTGCGCGATATGTATTCAGACAACAAGCGCGCGAGAGACAATACCACTGTCCGTGGCATCTCTACAGAAGTCAGACAGGCCTGCAGCTTTTCCCAGCGCAACGTCTTTAGCTCCTCGAATTGACGGTGTTCCACTAGCGTTGACGCCTATGTATTCAGCCTCCACCAAGTCTTGCTACTTTTTTTCCGTTTTTTTTTTTGTCCCTTCTGCTGTTGGCCAGGTGTACGACTCCTACTTTTCCTCCCACCGCATGGTCGGGATGGTGGCATCGCTCGAGGCGGTGCAGCTTACATGGTGTGTTACGTTGTTCCTATGTCTATTTAAAGTTTATTCTATCTATTTTCCGCCGCTGCCATATAGCACACCTTTGCCTACCCAACGTACGGTGTCGCCTCTCTGACTGGAGAGCTTCGATCGGGGGTCACGCAGACAACAATTCCTCTTGAGGTGCCATGCTTTATGAGATAAAGGCTCTTAGCAGACCCTTCTCTCCAGTGTTGGGTAAGATAGACGAGCACTCATTGACCATGAAAGACCCCTTGCAAATGGGAGGTCGGGGGACAAGGGCTGCTGTAGCCCCCGGCCTCCGCACAAACCCGGCGGGGCGTACACACCCCGAGTTTTTTCGCTGACTATTCCAGGCGCTTCATCGAGGACGATGAGTCGCCGCACAGCAGTGTCAAAAACGCGAGCTGCTGCGTCCCCTAAACAACCACTTTGTGCGGTGTAAGTATGCTGCAAGCCATTTTTTATTTTATTTTTTTATTATTATCGTCCACCAGGTTCGGCGACAATGTCGAGTACGTCCACTGCATCAACATGATGCCCTTCACCCCCATCACGGAGGACCTCTTGCACCGGGACTTCATGGAGCAGGAGTGGCCCGTCCTCGAGGCCGCCTTCGACGGTAGAGAGCCAGGTGTGAGGGCGACGCACGCTGTTTCTTCTCCTGCCCTTTGTTGGTGGTGTGTCGTTCCTTGTGCGTGCGTGCGTGCGTGCATGCGTGCGTGCGTTCGTGCGTGCGTGTGTATGTGTGTGTGCTTCTGCGTGCGCTGTGCGTCCGTGCTCTCTCGTGTCTACAAGGCGCGTTGGGTACGTTGTGTCCGCCACTCTTATTAATGACTCTTTCATTGAGTGCCCCCTATACTTCAGTATTCGTCTGTTGCCGAGTGAGTGCCACAACCAACGAGTGAGTGCCACACCCCTTCTATTTCTGTGTGCAGCTGGACCAAGCAGCAAATACCCTCCCCATGCCGGTGCTGCTTGGCACTGAGCACGATTCCCCCTACCGTTCTCTCTGTCTGCCTGCCTCTCCCTCGCGCGCGCTCTCTCTCTCTTACCACTTCCATGTTTTTCTCTTTCTCAACAAAACAAAAACGCGCAAATGAACAAATTGAATGCAGACCCGCAGTGGGCCGGGTTCATCTACCTGGCGGCTTCGGTCGTGCTTCCCGTGGAAGCGTGGGCCAACCTCACGGCCCTCGACATCTTCGACAGCGGCAACTCCAAGACCAACAGCCTCTACTGGATAGCCACGCGCCCGTCGGCGGGAGGTGCGAGATAAAAAAAACTTGTAATTGCGCCCCTGCGGTCGCAACACGCCCATTGCTTCGCCTTTGCTTGCTGTTCTTTTGCCGATGCTGCAGCACCTCTTTCCCGCCGGCCAGAGTATCCTTCTCAAATGGTCGAGAAGCTCACGTCCGTACTTCCGTACCTCCCAAGACATTCGTGACTTTGGTGTCAAGTGCGCTTTTCGTGTTTTCGTGTTTGCTGTTCTTTCCCCATGCATCTCTTCCTTCGTTACCCCGGCCGCATTCTGTCTTCCTTTCCACGGACGGTGCTGTTGATGTTACTCCTCTCTTTGCTCTCACCTCTCTTGATCTTGGCGATCGCACGGTGCGACACGACAACTTGCGCGACAAATTTGCGTCGCGCGACCTACCCGGCGGCAAGCAGAGGCGTACAACGAATCCATGTTCCCCGTGGAGGTCAAAGTGGAAGCCGAGTGCAGCGCCAACTCCGCCTGCCAAGCGAGGGTGAGCGCCGGCACCTGCCTTTGTCGATTTTCCGCGAGCGAACTAGCTGCGCGCGCCGGCGCTTCCGCTGCGCCAATGACGCAAGTTTGCTGACCTAGCCCAAGTCTACAGATTGTCTCCCTTTTGTGACAACGCGCTCTCTCTCACCCCTCCCTTGTTCACGAACAGTCCGATACAAGCGCACGCTACAATTGCAGTGGAGAAATCCATATGTCCAATCTAGGCACATGGGGGACCCACGGAAACCAGTAAAGCCACATGGCGTTCTCGGCAAAGGGCCTACCCAGCATGCATGATCTTTTCCAGGGGTAGATTCAGGGTCCGGTGACGGGCGTGAGACCCACGACGCCCCCCCCCCCGGTCACACTCTTACCTGACTCCAAGTTGGTCAAGCATCGCTTGATTACACTCCCTCGCCTTGATAGCACGGAAGTAGATTAGCCTAACTACGGTGGTGGGTCAAAGGCCACTCACTCTACCTTCGCTTAACCTTCAAGTTCATCAGAATCGGGGGCATTCATACTACCGCCCATTGCCTTAAGCATCGCTTCTCTGACAAGGGTAGCAAGACGTCGACCAGTATCGTGTCTTTGTGATGACAGTCGGTAAACATGTTTGGTGAACAAACAGCTTGCTCTCCTTCCTGCCCCGCTGTTCTGGTCGCCCCTCCGTCCCGCGCTATGTGATGCGCCCCAGGGCTTAACGCAGGAGAAGCTGTGCTGCCCGACGAAGGACGATGGTTGGCTAGGCTGTTGTCCGAGCGGAGACGGAGTTCCCGAGGTTTGTACGGGGGCTTTTTCTTACTCAACTGAACTCGTTGTTCCAATCAACTACCTCCGGAGTGGTGTGTAATTGGTGTGGTGTTTGTGGGCGTGGGGCGGATGGCTCCTGAGGTGAAGATAAAAAAAGAAAATGATCTGGCCGCGGGTACTTCCACCCACGCGCATCGCGTGTCCCGCTCTACAGCAGTCACCGTGATTTATCTCGTGGTGGAGAAAGGTGATATACGGTCCACACCCACGATCACTATCGCTACCAAAGCGCGGCCCAAGCACTCGCGGTCACCCTACTCGTGACCGATCAATCACTACATCACTGTCGTTGGTTTGACCAAACGGAGATAGGGCCCGTCGGCGTGTTCCTCCAACCCCAACTGCGTCGCCGCGGGCCTGGCGACCGGACTCTGCTGCCCTGGCCTTTCTGGAGAGATGCTGGCGTGCTGCGGGCAGGGTGGCGACGACAGCGAGGACGATAAGAAGGAGCACAAGGCGGAGGTGGCGGTGGACCCACAGGCCCTCTGCAGCGCCAACCAGGGGTGAGCTTGTATGTGTGCCTGTCTCTCTATTACGCGTGGAACGACCAAACCGTTCGAATATTCTTCATCTCCTTCCTCGTTTTCACCCCGAAGCAAGATGTAGCAGCATAATACCTCAGAAAACCTACGACCTGCCATTTGTGCCTTGGTAGTAGAGAGTACGGTGGTTGAATGGGTTGCGGTCGATCCCGAGCCCCCCCCCGCAGCTCTTGTACGAGACCTTTCGAACCACGACTAGGCCACCCATCGGCTTCGTTACGTTCGCGTTGAATTCTCCGCAGATTCGGAGATCTGTGAATCCCATGGTTGCGAGCGAGGTGTGTGGGGGGGTGTTGTCGCCAAACGCGCCCTGAATCGAGCGGGAAGTACAACAGTTGGACAGGCCACGGAGTGTGCGTATCTCCGGCCTGCTATTTCACTGTTTTTTTCGTTTCGTGTGTAGTGTTTGGAGTCTTGCACCTCATGTTCCTCGTCGCGTGTCGTCCGTGACTTCCTTCACGAAGGATCCAGTGTCTTGTCTCCCTTCGCAGTCTAATATTCGCGGCCGTGCATGATAACTGGTGGTCCCCGTAGCCCCCCCTTAACGGGCGAAGCGGCCGCCTCAGCAATTCCTACGGCCTGTCCTCGATCCGAGGAGGCCTTCTTTCTTCGCGTATCAAACCCACAACGACCAACCCCCCCCCCCCCCCCCCCG